TCAGACGTGTGCTCTTCCGATCTATATAATATATATTATTACATTATATGATCCGGGCTCTACTAATTATATTATTATATGCTATTAATATATATATATAATAATGTGTATCACAATAAACAAAACCGTTTCCAAATATTAGAATAATCGGACAACTTCCAACGTGATGTGGAAGTTGTCCGATTATTCTAATATTTGGAAACGGTTTTGTTTATTGTGATACACATTATTATATATATATATTAATAGCATATAATAATATAATTAGTAGAGCCCGGATCATATAATGTAATAATATATATTATATTTATTATAATAATAAATATAAATATAAATATATAAAAAATATATACACAACTATTTTATATATTTTTTAATATTATATATATTATAATATAATTTTATATGTGTATTGTATTTATTCTGTGTAATAATACATATATAATATATGTGTGTCACTAACAACAAAACCATTTTCAATAATCGTAATAATCGGACAACTTCCATCTCACGCTGAAAAAACCAGTTCTCGTCCGATCACTGAAGTCAAGCAGCGTTGAGCACGGTTAGTACTTGGATGGGTGACCGCTTGGGAACACCGTGTGATGTTGTCCTTCATTTTTTTATATTTTTTACTAGGTATTTTTTATTTTATAGCTAGAGAGAATTTCTACGAAGAAAAAGTAATAGTTAATACATTTTTCTGGCAATTATATTGCTATAGATAACCGTAGCAGATATAAAATATGATTCGATTTGAAAAAAATTATGTAGAAGGCATCATCGGGCGCAATTAAATTGTTAATTAAATTGTTTCTTAAGAGTGTAAACGTTTATAAAATATTAATTTATAAAACGCTAAATATTTCGAGACCGTAACAGCTTAAGCTGTATATATTCTATAAGAATTAAGCATATTTTGTTCAATTTTTTATGTCTCATAAACTATTTCAAGATGTTAGAAATAAAATCGAAAATTATGAACAAAATATGTTATTAATTAATTGTTGGAAATATATTTGTGGACATATATACATATATAGCTACGTGTAGTTTAATATGCACATTGAGACTTGAGCCACTTGAGGTGCTGGTGGATGGATTGGATTTCATTTAAAACGAGCGCAGATACATTTTCACTTTCAGACTTCCCTCTATACCGACTGTATGTACACAGCGTTGATACCTATGTGTTACCCGGTGGAAATATGTATTGCGGGTAATTTATCGACAGGTAGCATTTCCGTCAGCGACTGATCAGTGATCGATGGCGCCACTGATACATTTTCGCTGGCAAGCAGTTTATGTCGCGGCACGGGCGGCACGGCGCGCATCATAATTCAACATTCAACTCGGGAACCTCGGAGAGAGACAGAGGAAGGGAACAAGGGACAAATTGTTTATTTTCCTCCTTCACGCCACGTGTCCTCGAAGAGTCGATGCGATTATGCGATCGTCGGCGGATGACGGGTGAGGCACAGCTAGGACAGTCGAGTGTCGGTGCCAGTCGATGATCTCTTCTCTCTCTCCGCATGACGCGTGCATACGCTGCGCGCGCGCGCGCGCACTCACGGCTCGCGGCGCGGCGCGGCGTCTCCCTCCCCACTCTCGCGTCCTCTCGCTCTCTTTCTCCGCTTTCCTCCCTCCCACCCACTCCCTTTCGCTCCTCTCCCGACATGGCCAAGACGTACCGTTAACTCACGCGTCTCTCCTACTATCCATTGATGCCTCCGCCGTCGCGTAACTCGTGCGTGCTCCCCTATACGTGCATCCCGCATCGCGCGCGTGCAAGGACGCGCGTCCTCGCCTGCTGCGTGCCGCAAGTCTGGGACGAGACGACGCGCCGCGCCGCGCCGCGCCAACCGGCCGCCGCAGGACCGTCGACGCCGGAAGGTTAGGTAAGTGGAAGTTTTGATATGTGCGCGGAGCCGCGCAACTCTCGGCTCCGGCTTTGGCTCCGGCTCCGACGTCGGTCGGTCCGGCTCCGTTTTCTCCCCCCCTCCCCCTCCCTCCCCGGTCGCTCCTCCCCCTCGCTCGTTCGCGATCCGATCCGGAGCGGCGATCCGGAGAAAACGGCGCCCGACCGCCACTCGCCTTTGTCCCCCGCGTCGCCGCGGCAGGTGTCGTGTTTACGCGCGTCCCGAGAGTGTGTGCCTCGCTTGCCGTGATTTAAAGCCGGCTCTCCCCGGGATTTGCCCACATAGTCGGTCGCCGGACATCCGATACGGAGCGTCACGTTTCCCCGTGAATCGTCGTGAGGGCACTCTCCCCGCGCTCCGGTGAACCCTGGACGCGACGCGGAGAAGACGCGGTGAGTAATTGAACAAACAACCTTCGCCGAGAGTACAAAGGCTGCGGACGTTCGGAGTCTGTTAAACGCCGATCTGTGCTCAGTCAGTACGCGTCGCGCGTTTGTTATTTTCGTCAGCTGTTCGCGCGTGTGTTCGGGCCGAAAGGAGAAGGGACGCCCGGCGTCCTTTCACCGGGCGATATTCTTGTCCTGCCAAGCTCGCGTATACGCGAGCCGACGCGACGTCGGGATCAAAGGAGAGATCCGTTTTCGCCGCTCGCCTCGCTCGCCTGTCTGTCATCGCGATCGTGCGATATCTGCTGAACGCGCGCGATAAAAAAAAAACGTGACGCGCGATAACTCTGCGAAATTTCTAAATTCAATTCGATCTAACCGTACACACGTTTCTCCAACGACGCATCCTTGACGCTTTCTCTCGTCTCTACTCGATTTGACGTTTTTATCCCATTCGACGCGGGCTTTACTTCGACTTTCGCAGATCGAAGCCGCTTCTCACGTCCGAATTCGCCGAAGGATTCGCTCGAATCATCGCCTCGCTCGCCTGTCGAACGCGGACACGCACATGTACATGCACACACACACACACACACACATACATACACACGCGCGCACACATGCGCTCGCGAAATCCCGAAAACATATCCGGAGGCCGGAGCTCGAGATCCGTTCGATTCGTTTCCTTCCCCGTTCTCTCGCGCCGCGCGAGATCGTTACAGTCCGCTCCTCCGCTCGTGATGCATCGCGGCGTACGGTACGGAAACGGGTGCGTACGTTCGCTCGCGTAGATCGATCCATCTCGGGTTCGAGTACGAAAGAACCAAGATAATTGGCGGACAATTTACGAAGCGTGTGCCGTGTATCCGACTGGATTTCTTTTCGTATACCTAAGCATCAGAATATATCTTTGCGAACAACGTCAGAATATGCTTGGCGAATTAGCCGCGCGCGCAGCGGCGCGATATATCAGTATCCATGTAAATGAAAATATTTCATGAGTGTAATAACCACTCGATATTCGAAGAGGGTGGTTTGATGAATTAAAAGATAATACATACAAATATAGAAACTTGAACTTTCAACAGATTTTCGGCTGACTTTTGATATTCAGATAGTTTTGCATTCTACACGATCACGCTAATGTGCTTGCCTTGATTCGCTTATTATCTTTTTTATTTTGTCTCCGAGAAGGATCTGAATTTGAGTTGGGAGCGAAATATCAATGTATTTGAATTTGCTATTAACGGTTTATTATTTTGACTTTTGTTTAATTTAATTACGTATCTGTTTCGCGCAATCAGCGTAATCAGCGCCAACTCTTATTGCCCTACTTTTTTTCTTTTTATCGTATAGATATATCGTGAATCTTAATACACACAGAGGCAGAGTGCTGCTGCAGATTTTCTTAAAATTTAACGAAAAATTTCATTCCTTTGTGCCTCGATCTAATTCAGTCTTGGATTAAAAAGTAAAATCCGCCCTTAAATGATAGTATTTAAAATAATGAAGAAAATTATTCTGGTTGTGTTATACATATTCTTTTTATAATTTTGTACGTTTTCCTATTGATACAATTCTATTGAAGAATAAAAGCCTTAAAAATGCATCGAGACGAAAAATTGAAAATATAAAATTCACAAAGAAAATATATGTAAGGACAGGAATGACGAAGCATTTGATAAGAGTATCATTTTGTGTTGTAGTCAAGTAATTATTGCAAATTGTTTCTGATAACGGAATGCTGCGCGTGACGTTTTCACGGTTTGTACACGTACTTTTAAACAGAAAGTTTACCGTTTTCGAAGAAAATAAAAACTTATTTAAAGAAACTCACTTAAAGACTAAAAAAAAAAAAAAAAAAATTTATTTAGATCGTTTAAGTTTTTAGAGATATGTTGCTACCTCGTTAAATAAAAATGTATATTTTTTCGAAAAAAGTTCTAATAAGAAAAAAACAAAATTTTCATGAAAATATGTGATAGGATGGAAAATGAATGACATAAAAAATCTTTTGAGCTGCGTATGATTTTATAGAATATAGAAAAAAATGCAATTTTGATTTCATGCATATATAGCATCGAAGAGGTATCTGAATAACAGATTTCTAAATCGATTTGAGGCTGAATCTTTTGAAAATTTGATGAAATTTTTTGTTACTGAAACCTTGGTAATAAAATTTTTATTTGAAAACTAATAATCCGTTTCTAAATGAAAAAAAGAATAAGATTCCAATTCAAATGAAACAATAAGATCTTGTTACTTAATTGCATCCGGAAAAAATTTAGATTTTGGGAAACATAATAAATACAACATGTTATATTTATTGTTAAATTATTTTTAAAATAAAATCAGCCGAATGTTAGCTAATAAATAAGATAATTTTACTTTTTTATTCTTTTCTTTTTTCACCAAACTTGATTTAATAATTATTATCTGTCGATTTATCTTTCGTTTATGTCTTTTTGATAATCAGGATTATTGCCGTATGAGTTTATTACTAAAAAATATTCTGATATAATATTAAAAAAACTTAGATACATGTTTTACGCGAAATCAAAATGCTAAATGAATCTTTTAAAATTATATTCCACGGAAAGAATGTACATTCTAATTAATGTATATTCTTTCGATCGTATTATACATGACATTTTTAAACTGAAATTTGTCAAATTAATCTTGGACCTCGAACCTAACAAACGAAAACAGCGTTTAAGTTGTGCGAGGTCAACTCGACCGTGAGGCTGAGCTTGTAATGGGAACCAAGAGAGTATTTAATCTCTATGTAAATAAGAGCGACCGTGGTGCGGTGACCTGTCAACTTTCCGCGTTCTCCTATTATGCGGCAATTAATCCGCAACTACGTGAGTACGTGACTATTTATCACTGTAGAACATTATCGACGTTTCGAATGCATTCGCCCTCCTTTTTTCCTTGGATTTTTTCTTCATCGAGAAAATTTTTATCTCGGACGCATAAATGCACGAGCGAACGATGGAATTTTATTTAATTTGAGCTATTTATGTTTAAGTCATGCTAAAATATGAAAATCGAAGGCACTCTAATTTATTCCCAAATTTATTGAAAAGGCTATTTCTCAAAATAATATCTGTCAATCGAATAGTCTCTCTAATGTCTCTTTCCGGCGCAACGACAGTCTATTTTATTATATGCCGAATGAAAAACTGTCGATTAGATCGTAACGTTTGTTGCAACGTTTTAAAAATGCGGCACGATGTAATTTAGTCGCGAAAATTTTGCGCCAATTATACCCGCGTGGTTAATTTTATTGGGGCAGTTTCGTGATTTCATCGCGGCAGAACGGTCGATTCAATGACCGAATTATCGCGAAATAAAAGTAAGTTATGCATGTATATGTATATAATCGGCATGAAATTTGTACAGATATCGTCACCGACTCGACCGGACCGAGGGAGCGTAATCAACTACGCTCTCCAGATTGATTTATCGATTCTCTGATTTATTCCTATCGCGCGGTGCGGTAATAGATAACGTATAATCTCGTTTTACGGTTTACCGGCGGGATTTACCATCGCGGCGCGGTGCGCGCTAGCTGGCTGGCTGGCTCTCCTTATTACGGGTGCATACACATATGCGCCGCGCTTTCGCGAACGCGCGATTGACAATAACTCGGCTCGCGAGGCATTTACCACCCGCCGTCGATGTCGTTACGACGTTGATATAAATACCATTACGCCTTTTCCGTATATATACACGACGCACGCGCGGTTTTACAACCCGCTATCTTTTATTACGATGTTTATGCTTTACGAGGTGTGTCGATTGGAATTAAATCGCCTTTCGCGCGATAAGGGGCACAGCCTCCGAGGGGGAAGTCTCCGAGTGTGTTAACCGTGCAGCGCGAATCTCGACTTTAACGAAGAGTCGCGGCTGTTATTAATCGATCGCCGCTTAATGGATCTTCCTTCGCCGTGACTTCATCCGCCGACACGTTGTCCTCGAAGTTCTATATTTATAGAACGGCGCTGTAAAGAGATATGTTGGTTTTCGCGTGGCTTGCAAGGCGTTGCTCGCGCCTTCGATAAGACGATAAAATAATTTATTTATACGTGTGAATATCGTGGAAAACGGTGCCGCCTTTGCCGCTCGGTCGCATTAAAAAGGCGCGAAGTTGTTGGAAACGTGCTAATTGTATGTGTCATCAGTATTACAATTGTATGCGTGTACGAGGAAAACTGTGCGTCATTTTGGTATTCACTTCTCATTCCGCTCGATGGTAGGTATCTCTTGCATCACGGAAATGAGATATATTAGGTTCTCCTTCTCAATTAAACATTTTTCCAATATTAATGGAATGTACGATTAGAATAATTAAAGTTCAACTTTTCATTAAAACTGGCGTGTTAAAATTTGAACATATTGAGCCTATTTACGTAACTATAACTACGTAATGCAATCCAACGTGAAAATAAAATTATTATTATTATTTCATTATAGAGTATGCATCATTACTAAAACCGGTTTACGATGTTACCTTCGAGAAATCGTTTATGTGTAGGTACATATTTACATACATATATTCCTATCCGTAAGCTTTAAGATTCCCTAATA